TGATGGGTTGTAAGTGGTACACTTGTCTGTGAATAAAAGGATCTATATTTAGAATACAGTAAGAAATTACATTAGTCTAGGGATGTGACAAAGCTAGGTTTTTCTCTAGATCTGTGACCTCTCCTGCCATGTGTCTGGCTATGTTTACAGTACCGCACATGAGTTCCTTCCCATTGCGTGGAACTTAAGTTCAATTAGACAGGTCTTGATTACCCCCATGATAAAAGTGCAGCTGCTGTCCCAACAGAGCTAGTTTGCTGTGCCAGTCATTGCTGTGGGTATTGGGCTTTACAGCTGGGTGGGACCATTGATTGGTTTTCTCCCTTAGCAGCTTGCATAGTGTCTTCTGATACCATGACAGCTAGCCTACAGGAAGGAGGCTTCCAGGTCAGTTCCCACTCCACTGCTTCAAACCTTCTGTCCAAAGTATGTCTTGACTTCAGCAGTGGGGTCTTACCTTCCAGTTCTTGGAGGAAGTCAAGGGCTGTGGCGATAGCCTGTTATTTTGGGAGTGCCTTGGACTACCCTGAGCCACAGCTCCAGTGGAGGTTCCTCCTGCTTGGCTGTGTGTTTCTTGCTGTATAGCCTTCAGCTGTGCACCTGCACGCATTTATGCCTGCACGTATTTATGCGTATTTGTCAGCAGGGCTTTGAACTAATCCATTTCCCCCTGGGTTTTCACAGCACCTAAGCATTATTTAATCTCTTCTCTCTCTCCCCCTGTATAACCATCCCCCCTCTCCCTTCCACTGTAGATTTGTCACTCAGGGCTGCAGATCTCACAGACACTTACTCTCTGTGTGTGACCAGTTGTGGAACTCTGCAGTAGTTTCCATCTGTTGCAATACTTATCTGTAAATATAAGGATACATATTTAGCATATAGTAAGAAATTACATTAGTCTAGGGATGTGACAAAGCTAGGTTTTTCTCTAGATCTGTGACCTCTCCTGCCATGTGTCTGGCTATGTTTACAGTACCGCACATGAGTTCCTTCCCATTGCGTGGAACTTAAGTTCAATTAGACAGGTCTTGATTACCCCCATGATAAAAGTGCAGCTGCTGTCCCAACAGAGCTAGTTTGCTGTGCCAGTCATTGCTGTGGGTATTGGGCTTTACAGCTGGGTGGGACCATTGATTGGTTTTCTCCCTTAGCAGCTTGCATAGTGTCTTCTGATACCATGACAGCTAGCCTACAGGAAGGAGGCTTCCAGGTCAGTTCCCGCTCCACTCCTTCAAACCTTCTGTCCAAAGTATGTCTTGACTTCAGCAGTGGGGTCTTACCTTCCAGTTCTTGGAGGAAGTCAAGGGCTGTGGCGATAGCCTGTTATTTTGGGAGTGCCTTGGACTACCCTGAGCCACAGCTCCAGTGGAGGTTCCTCCTGCTTGGCTGTGTGTTTCTTGCTGTATAGCCTTCAGCTGTGCACCTGCACGCATTTATGCCTGCACGTATTTATGCGTATTTGTCAGCAGGGCTTTGAACTAATCCATTTCCCCCTGGGTTTTCACAGCACCTAAGCATTATTTAATCTCTTCTCTCTCTCCCCCTGTATAACCATCCCCCCTCTCCCTCCCCAGTTAAAGCACCCCCATTTTCCCCATTTCCCCCTTGATAACACTTGTGCCCTACTAGCCCCCCTCTCTCTTGAGCTCCTTGTTCCACTTCATCCCTGTTTTAGTTTGTTTCTTCATTGCTGTGACAAAACACTCTGACCAGTACCAACTTGGGGAGGAAAGGGTTTATTC